TTCGTTTAGGTATATTAACAAACAGGTAACAGACATGAAAGATGTTACATATCTGTCCAAAGAATTAGGGAAGACCGAGTGCATAAACAAGAACTAAGCTAATACATCTAAGCATCAAATCCAACTATGTAGCCTAGACCATTCAACTCAATCTAAGGGCATACCGCATACCCCAATATCCCACTAAAAAGCAAGCAATCATAAGGTTCAAGTGAAGTAAAGATCACCCAAAGAAATCGAGTTGAATCTGAAACAGAGTTGTCACAAATAAGAATAATCACAAGAAAAAACTCACATTCATCAGACTTGAATTTGAATCCTCTGATACACAAGGCTAGCGCGAGGCAGAGATAGAATGGAGAGAGAAGGGAGTCGTCGAGATATCGTCGGTGATCGCCTACCTCTCCGGCATCTTCCTTGTAGTCGGTCACCAAAATGGAAGAAGGGCTGTTGATAGACCCATGGGAGGAGATGAGTTATCAGGTGATAGAGTTAACGGGTTGGGAGAAAAAAAAAATGAGGTAGAAGTGGTTGGGCTGAAGTGATTTTGAATAAGTAAAAGTTATATTTTTTAACTTTTATTTTTGGACTTATTTAAGTGGTAAAATAGTTTTTACTTTTTTAAAAGTACTTTTCATAAGTTAATCCAAACACTGTTTTTTTTTTATGAAAGCACTTATGATAAGTCAAAAATTTTAAAAAATATTTTTCTTAAGTCAATTTAAACACACTCTAAGTCAATAGTATTACTTGATATTATCGTCTACTAATAAGTGAATTTCACAAAAATTTATAATCACCCACCTATTTAATATATAACCACTTTCATGTTAAAAAATGAATTATATTTTACCTATTTTTTTATTGAATAATTATATTATGTAATAACATTAATGTAAAATAATTGTTACACCCAATATTTAATCGATTAACACGCATGTCGGCCGATGCACCTTCCTCCCTGGCACAAGATATTGAAGAAGGGTGCAAAGAGTGAAACCATGTAGGTAGAGTCACCCTGCCACCTATTTTCATATAATCCACTGGCATCATTTTTTCAGTTTATGAGATAGTTGGTGAACATTGTCGCCTTAGTCACCCACCCGCCCAGCCACGTAGACTAGAACACAGAGCTATTGGGGTCTTCGTAGGTTGGGTTATCCACATATTTCGTTATCTAACTTGAAAAAATAAGTCCGAAACTTAATAGGTTCGATAATTAGTCCACCTAAGTTCAAGCTCAATATCTTTAAAAAAAAAAGATCGAGTTTGCCCCCAAATTCATAATCAGGCCTGAAACCCGGCCCAAAAACCCACCTGCCAATCCCTACCTGCCCACATAGCACGCGCCACATTTCATTTGAAAAAAAGTTATACTTTTTAAACCATTAAATTTAAAACTTTAAAATAAGTCTCTCAATGTCAAAATTTGAAGTTTTAAAAATTTAAATACTATAAATAATGTATTATTTTATATTTCATGTACTAAGTATACAAATTTTAAAGGATAGAGTAATACAAATGATAGATAAATAAGTAAGTGTCAACCTAGTTATAATGTATTCATTCTATTGAATATAGTTTATCTCCTAATTAAAAATAAAATTACTCATTATTTTATTTGTATCTATTTTGACTCTATTTTTAATTTAAAAATATAATTTATACAAATATTAAATTATAAAAATATTTATTATTTTTAAATAAAATTATATATAAAAAAATTCACGAACAGACCCGTCTAATAAACTCACTCACATGTCCGCCCACTAAGCTCGAGGGTTGGGTACGGATAGCCTACCCTTACTCAAAATCCAGCCAATCTTATCCGCCACATATCTCACTTGGCTAAGAGTTTAGACCTCGACAATCTAGATCTGCCCAAAAAAAAATCACAATCACAGGCCTAACTCAGTCCAGCCGATGGACACCTACATAGGGNAAAAATCACCACCGAAACCCCACCACTCAATGCCCACTGGCCACCCAAAACCCACCACTCAACTCCACTTGCCACCCAAAACCATCACCCAATCCCACAACTTTTTTTTTTAAAAAAAAAAAGAAAGAAAGAGAGATTTTATTTAATCAATTCAAAAAATTACAAGAATCAAAAGGATAAACCCTAATATGATTTTAATCCNCTTAAATTTAATTCTTGTTAATATATTTCAAGCTTAACTAAACTTGTAGTTAATAAGTTATTGCAAATATTCAAAGTTTATTTTCTAAAAACTTAGTCTAACTCAATCCTGTTTTAGAGAAGTTTCTTGTCATGTAAAAAAAAAAAATGAATTGACTCTTACAAATTTACGCCAAGTAATAAAACTCTTCAGAATCTAATTCATCTAGGAATTTAGATATTCTCTGATGATTGTACTTCAATTTTTCTTAACAATAATAAGTTACACGTTATGAGCTCGATTGGGTATTATATTTAAATGGGTCTCTCGTAACATATGATCATTACGCAACAAGGCTCTAATAAGATAATTTAAAGTTGTGGGCTAATTTTGAAAAGTATTCTATGTAACAAAACATGAGTGAGGGCCATTCCTCGCGTCCATGCACCAGACCTCCGCCCACCAATAAATCATAAATACATCCCCCACCCCTACTCCTACTCCTGGCTTAGCTACACAATTTTCATTCTCTCTCTCTCTCTCTCTCTGAACCAATCACTCAAGTAAAATGAGCTGGTGGTGGGCTGGAGCTATCGGCGCCGCGAAGGCAAGCAATTCCTCTTCCTCCCCTCACCCCTCCTCCTCTCTCTCTCTAGATTCACACACCCTGCACACTGCACACACATTTTTTGTTATACTCCACAATCTGAATCTAAACTATCTGTCCCAAATTACCTCTTTGTAGAAAAAATTCGAAGACGACGATGCACCACCAAAGTACCAAAGCGTGGCCCTAATTATCGGGGTCACCGGCATCGTCGGAAACAGCCTCGCTGAGATCCTCCCACTCGCAGACACCCCGGGCGGCCCATGGAAGGTCTACGGCGTCGCTCGCCGGCCAAGGCCCTCCTGGAACGCTGACCACCCAGTCGAATACATCCAGTGCGACATCTCAGACCCAGAAGACACCCGATCGAAGCTCTCAAATCTCCACGATGTAACCCATGTTTTCTACGTCACATGGGCTAGTAGATCCACCGAAGCCGAAAATTGTGAAATCAATGGAAAAATGTTCAGAAATGTTCTCCAATCAATCATACCCAGTGCCCCAAATTTGCAGCATATCTGTCTTCAAACTGGAAAAAAACACTACTGGGGTTCTTTTGAATTGTCCGGGAAAATTGCCCATGATCCTCCGTTTCACGAGGATTTACCTAGGCTTGATGCTCCAAATTTTTACTACGCGCTTGAGGATATTTTGTTTGAGGAGGTGGAAANACCCCCATATAAGCCGAAGCACTATGGGGGTGGGGAGACGACTCTTTCCCCGATGTGGGACAGAGGTAAAGGCTACTGTGGGGCGAGTCCTGCAGGTTAGCCGAAATCCTTTGGTGG